AAACTCTAAGCCAATTTTTTATGAAAATCTTTATTTTTAAAATATGGTGACTTAAGTACAGAAAAATCAAATTTGCTTGTATCTCTCTCCTGTCAAGTAATTAGGTTTGACTACATACTTAATACTATTCATGTGGGTTTCAGTTAAGCTAAAAGCTGAATGCCCTGGAAACAAAAATGAGGCTGACAAATCACCAGACTGAAACTTGTATTTTACCTATTTGAATATAAATACACCAATGAACTGGGTAGAATATCTCTGCATTCACTATAATTTCAAAATTGAACATTGTAATAAAGAATGATAATTGGTTTGACACTTCATCTTCAACCCCAATAAATTCCCATTCAGAACCAAAAAAAAGACCCTTATAATCGAGATTCTTCAGTAAGTAGAGTGAATGCAGCTTTTGATTAGTCAGAATAGCCACATTAAGCTTCTGTTAAAAAAAATTGGCCAACAACCAGCTTTGAATCAGTCTTCCATTCTACTGCCAAATATTCTTAGACCAGGTATCTCTTAGGATTAAAGACAAGGAGGGGAAAGGTGAAAGGCAGTTGACATAATGTACTTGCTTTTTTAAATTCCCTAAATCACGGTAAGTAGCCAATTTGAGAAGAATTTTAAGATTGGATAATTGCTTGCTTTGAATGGGTTTTTTAATTTTTTTCATTTGTCTTCTTCACAAGGAATGTGAAGCCTTTTTAAAGGCTTCTTTGCATTACACAATGGAGGCAGTGTACAATAGTGGCGAGATCATGGGCTTTAAAGTCACATAGAACCTAAGCTTGAATTGAATTACAGCTCTGAAACTAACCAGCTGTCTGGACTTTAGTCAAGCTTCTGAACCTTACTTTTCTTGTCTATAAAACTTGGATATCAAAATAGCCATTTCACAATGTTGTTAATTATTAAACAAGATGGCACATGTAAAAAGCTTAGAACCTGACACATGGTAAAGGCTCAATTAATGTTTAAACCTTTCTTTTCTCAAACTTAATAGAGTAGAGGATTTTAATAATTGAAATAAGTGTCTCACATGAGAAAATCAAGAAAGTCTGTTTATATTTTCTAAATTCAGAAAATAGTTTTTGAGCAAACTCTAGCAACTAGGGAATTTTTTTCTAAGTGACTAAGGCCCAGACCTCCAGCTACTCACAATCTAATAGGACAGAAAGGAACATTGATAATACAATTACTGAACAAGATAAGAGGTGGAAGCAATGTATTATTGGAATTTATAAACTAAGGTAATTCTGATCAGGTAGCAAGGCATTAGAAAAGGGGAAAGTATCCAATGTAATTTGTATAATCAGATACATTCTTGAAATTCTGTTTAAGGAGTAAGATAAATTACAGTCCACATGGGGCATATTGTCTTTAAATGTCGAGGTATATTTGGGCAAAAGTTGACATAATGTTGTTCAAACATATGTATTGAATATAATCTACTCAGTCCTAATACTGTTCTCATATTTCAGTTTTTTAGAGGGAGGCATGCATCTCAGAACTCTTGCTATCAGTGTCATAATGAAATATCATGAGTACTATCTTGAATATCTTAAGGCAGTTTTGGGAGTGACTTGCTTTTAAGCTCTAAAAATACAGTTGGTGCTTTTTACTAAAATCACTTGTCTTGCATCCATATTTAAAGAAAGTATCTTTTCTTTATATAAGCCCAGAAGGAGCTATTGAAATATTTAAATTTTTCTTTTAAACACAGTTTTATTCTGAGGCTGCTTTGTTAACCATTAGTTTATGCTATGCTGCAAATATTTTAGAGATCCTTTATAATTAAGTCTCTTGCCTAGTGTCTTCTGGCGTTTTGGATTTGGCCCTATTTTTTTTTTGTGTGTTCTCCCCCCACCATCATTTTCTTGCATTGATCTTAATGCAAGTTCTACTGTTCTCCTGGGCATAGACTCAGACATTACATACAAAGTTTCCCTTTGACCCCACACTTCAAATTAATCAGCATTATAGTCTTGGCTATAATTAAGAAAGTTATATATTCGACATTAATTCCTAATAAATTGATAAGCGTTAACACTGGAGCTTAAGACATTTATATTGTATTGAAAGGAATATTTTGCAATTAGAAATCAGACTATATAGACTGAATCAAGTAAACACCCTAGAGAGTTATCACTTCCTTATGAGAGCTTTCCCCTAACTGTGTTATGCAGCTTGTTGCCTAAACCTAAATTAGAATTGCTTTCAGGACAAAGGACAAAATGATTGTGAAAGACATCATCAACTATGTTACATTTTTTCCCTTTTCTTCTTGCTGGCTCTATTTTTTCTCATTTGCATTTTTCTCCTCTCAATATCTAACTGACTCATGATTTTTGCGAAAAGAAAGTAGTGAAGTGTAGGTGTCTGGGCCGGGGCCAGGACCCTGTAGGTATACAGGTGGAAGGATTGCCACAGTTTGACAGACCCGAGAATCCAGGAGCTTGAAAAACGTCGAAAGACAGCAGAGTTATGCATGGTTATATTGTAATGGACTCTTAGAATATGAAGAGCAGAGTTCCAGTACCAGTTCTATTATTTAGATGCTGCATTCCCTTTTGGATAAGTTATTTCATGTTTTCAACCCTTCACTTGCACATCTCTAAAATGAGGATATTGCCTTCTTCTGGGGGTTGCTGTGAGGATTAAATGAGGTAATGGATAACAAAAAATTATTTTAAATTGTATAACAACTGTATATTGTAAGGAAGTGATAGTACTAGCTTGCTGTTCCAAGCTTCAGTCAAAACAGATAGCTGACTTGATGTAACTCTGGGTTTCAGTGGAGCTGACACTAGCTCTGATATTTCCAGCAACACATTTGTCCTCTTTGAGCATCAGTTTTCTTCTCTGTCTGATTAGATGTCGGGCTTGGTAATCTAAAGATCCTAAGTGTGCCTTTGCTCACTGTCACTCTATTATTATCTTGCAAGTAACAAAATAGAAGGGAAGATATTTGTGCTGAAATTAAGTCTCATCATAGAATTCTTTTAATTCCCAATTATGTTCCAAAATGGGAGTTAAAGTGCCTTGATTAGCACCTCTTTTCCTTCTTAGGATCTAGGCCTTCCTATTCACTGTTTCTATTAAGCGTATTTGCGTGTCAGGTAATATTCTGAGAGGTTTCTGCTTTTCCTGTGAGAGCAAAGACATACTTTGGCTACTATTCTCCTTGGCATTAAGCTAAATACCTTTCACAAAATGATATCTTATATAGGAGACAGTTTTGGGCATTAAGGAGACTCTTTACATACTGATACTTACAGATTATTACATTCCAAAATATATTTGCTACAAGTATTTGTAGCATTTGTAGCAAATATATTTTGGCAAGTAAGTGTTATGCTTATTGATGAATGGTAGTTTACATTTTTATGTAATAAACATTTTCTTGAGTGTCTGCTATAAGCCAGACATTATACTAAATACTTACATTATCTCTAATTTTCATGTAACTTAAATGTCACTTGGGGCTGGGAGTACATAAGGGAAGGAAGTTGCTTACGTTCTCACAATGGTCTCTGGTTCTGCAGGTCTACTTTTTGCCAAATTTCTAAGTGTGTTCATTTTACAGTTCAAAATAGGAAGATCACTTATCATGCCATGCTGCACATGCTACCATTATATTCCACACATGTATTAGTTGGGTTTGCGTTGCTGTAAAGGAATACATGAGGCTGGATAGTTTATTAAAAAAAAAAGAGGTTGATTTGCCTCATGGTTCTGCAGGATATACAAGAAGCTTGGTGCCAACCTCTGCTTCTGGTGAAAACCTTAGGAAGCTACCTATCATGGCTGAAAGCAAGGGGGAGCACATGTGTCACATGGTAAGAGAGGAAGCAAGAGAGAAGGAGCAGGTTCCAGGCTCTTTTAAACAACCAGTGTGAACTAACTGAGAACACACTCATTACCACAAGGACAGTACTGAGCTCTTCATGAGAGATCTTACTCTGTAACCCAAATACCTTCCACCATGCCCCACCTCCAACATTGGGGATCAAACGTCAATGAGATTTGGAGGGAACAAATATTCACCATATCAACACAGTATCTAACGAGTGTGATACTTAGCCTCTACTTCAATTTATATGTATATTATTTTCCCTTGAGGCATTCATGTACGTAGTAGACGTTAGTGAAGGGGAATGAAGTATTTGCAGCATCACAAATAACTTCAAATTAACACCAAATACCTCACCAAATATTACCTGGGATGTCTTTCATGGATTCCTCTCTTTATAGTCTTTCCCTCTCCTGGTAGATTCTTCCCACACCCTGACTTCACTTCTGACTCAATTATCAATGACATTTTACTTCTTATTCCATAAATGAGCCTGTGGCTTTGCTTTTGCATATCCAGACACATCTAGCAATATGCTCAGTGAAACAATAAAAGGCAACCACTTTCAAAATCCATCTTCTTCATAAAGCAATCACAGGTATAAACAGCAATATTTTTCTTAATATCAAACAGTGTAAAAGTTGGTACCACACTCATTTTGTAGATAAGTAAACAAACTCAAAGATTTAAATGACTTGTGCGGGGTTATTCATTGAGTAATGACAAAGTCAGATATTGAACCATTTGAATCCGAATCCTATAGACTTCCACCAAACAAGATAATTCAAAAAGGAAATTGGAAAAGATGCATGTTAATGTCCTCTGAGCTTGCAAATAGGAAGATTGCTTTGAAAATCCATAGCATTTGAATCCACTGGGGATGGGAGAAATGTACATTTCCCATTATGGTCCCAAAGTATTGTTTAAGAAAATAGGGAAGCATAGTAAGTGAAAAGTCTCAATAACTTGGAAAATCCTGCCTGATATCAGGTAAATGGGACATTTATTATGGCTAATTAACTTTTATCTTTAAAAATTCATTTGTACGTTGGCTTTTACTTGATAAATATTTATTGACCCTCTCTATCTTTTTCATCATACTTCTTTAAAAAAATAGTTTTTCTAATGCCAGCTATTTTTTTTACAGAGGCAATTAAAGGCAGATGCTAAAAAAGCTATTGGAAGGCTTCAACTACGCACACTGAAACAAGGAGACAAGGTGCATTCATGACTTTTAAATGCTATTTGTTTTAAAGCAGTGGTACCAAACCATGGTTCAGGCTAAATGTTCTTCCAAAGTATTATTTTATTGGCATTTATGAACCTTATTGACTTTTTATATGTATTTGATTCTACAAGTAGACTGAATAATGTCCCCCCAAAGATATTTAAAATATCTATTCCCTTGAATCTGTGAGTATTACCTTATATGGCAAAAGGACTTTGCAGATATGACTAAGTTAAGGGACCTGAGATGGGAAGATTATCCTGGGTTATCCAGGTGGATTTTAAATATAATCACGGTGTCCTTATAAGAGGGAGGGACAGGGATATTTGACCACAGCACGGTAAGGGCTGTGACAATGGAAGCAAGAGGTTGGGTGATACAAGGAAGAGGCTATGAGCTAAGGCATTCAGACAGCCTCGAGAGGCTAAGGTAAGAAGAGGGATTCTCCCCTGAAGCCTCCAGAAGGAGCACAGTATTGACAATGCCTTGATTATAGAGTTCTGATTTTCAGAACAGTAAGAGAATAAACTTGTGTTGTTTAAGCCACTGAGTTATGATAATTTGTTACAGCAACTACAGGAAACTCATACAATGCTTTAGTGTTACTTTGCTTGAACATTCATTTTCAGATTTAGGACAGTTGAAAACTACCATTGATGGGTAAAACATGTATTTCAAAAAAATAGCTGTAGAACTCATGGAAATAATAAACCATTGTAAATCTTACCAAAGCCGTGAAACTGCAAAAGACTAATGAAAGAGAGAGCTCAAAGAAGATCTAAATAAATGGAAACATATACCATGTTCATGGGTCAGAAGACTCGCTGTTGTTAAACTATCGGTGACCCACCAAACTAATGTATGGATTTGATGCAGTTGCAGTAAAAATCCTAGTGGAAATCTTTTATAAAAATTGACAAGCTGATTCTAAGCTTAGATGAAAATGCAAAAGAACTAGAATAAGCAAGACAATTTTGATAAAGAGCAACTTTGGATGAGTCACACTGCCTGCTTTGCAGAATTATTTTAAAGTCACAGCAGTCAAGATAGTGTCCTATTGGAAAAAGAATAGACTTATAGATCAATGGAACAGAAGAGAGAGTCCAGAAATAAACCCATAATACACAGTCGATTGATTTTCCATAAAAGTGCAAAAGCAATTCGATAAAGAAAGGATAGCCTTTTCAGCAGGATAGCCAGTTGTTGGCTATCCATATGCAGTGATTGGAAATCCTTAAGCAAAAAAAAAAAAAAAAAAAACAGACAGACAAAAAAGAACTTCAATCCATTCTTCATACCCTATGTAAATATTAACTCAATAGATCATAGACCTTAACATAAAACCTAGAACTATGAAATCTTTAGAAGAAAACTTTAAAGAAAAATGTTTTCATGACTTGGGTGACAAACATTTCTTAGATATAACTCTAAAAACAAGTTCATAAAAGAAAAAAATGATACATTTGGCTTTGTCAAAATTAAGAATTTCTGCTCTTTGAAAGACACTTTTAAAAGAAGGAAAAGGTAAGGGACAAACTGAGAGAAAATGTTTGCAAATCATATGTCTGTTAAAGGACTGTACCAAGAATATATTAAAAAAACTCTCAAAACTCAACAGTAAGAAAACAACCAAATAGAAAATTGGCAAGCAAAACAGACAATTCACCAAAAAAATATGAATGGCAAATAAGCACATAAAAGATGTTAAACATAATTAATCGTTAAAGAAATACAAATTAAAGCCACAATGAAATACCATTCATTAGAATGGCTAAAATGCATACAACTGAAAATACCAAGAGCTGGCCAAGATTTGGGGCAACTGGTACTCTCATTCGTTTGCTGGTGAGAATGCAAAATATACAGCCGATTTGAAAATGTTTGGCAGTTCCTTATGAAGTTAAAAATACACTTACCATAGCACCTAGCAATCTCACTACTAGATATTTACTCTATGGGGGGGGGTGACATCTACGTTCACATAAAAACCTGTACACAACTGTTACAGCAGCTTTATTCATAGTTGTCAAAAACTGGAAAAAAGCCAAAAGTTGTTCAACTGGTAAATGGATAAACTGTGGTACATACATATCATGGAATACTATTTAGTGATAGAAGGGTGAGGGGAACCCCACTGATAAATACAGCATTATGGATGAATCTCAAATACATTACGCTAAGTTTAAAAAGCCAAACTCAAAAGCCAGAAAATGCATGATTCCATTTATATGACATTCTGGAAAAGCCTAAACTATAAAAATCAATCAGTGGTTGCCAGGAGCTGGGGATGAGAGGAAAGATTAACTGCCAAGAGTCTGGAGGAATTTGTTGGGAGTAATAGCACTATTCTATATCTTAATTGTGATAAGGATTAAGTGACTTTATATTTTTCAAAATGTGTAGAACTGTACACTGATGCTGGTGAACTAGTGAATTTTACTGTATGTGAATTGCACTTTATTTTTTAAATGAACAAAGTTACAGAACTTGTACAAATGATATTTTATGAATTCTAAAGTCAGGAAAATAGTTTAAATCAGTGATACATGTTTTTCTTTGTTTTGTTCCTCTATTACTTCACTTTGTTCTTTTATCTTTTTAAAGTCTTGATAATTTTAAATCACCTTTGAAAACTTTACAGTTACATAATCATTCAGTGATATGATGCTCTTCCTTTTATAGGAATTTAGGCTGGTTAAGTACATGTATGTTCTGATCTTGTTCTGTAGTTTAATGCATCTTTTCTTATCCATCAAAGTAACAATAACTGTTTGCTTGTAGGAAATTGGCCCTGATGGAGATAGCTGTGCTGTCTGTATTGAATTGTATAAACCAAATGATTTGGTACGCATCTTAACCTGCAAGTAAGTTTGATTTTCTTTTATATCTTCAATAAAAATAACTGACCCACAAAAATGATTGTGATGGAAGAAAACTATTGTGAATATTTCCAAATAGTAAAGAAAATGTTTATTTTTTAATTTATTTTCATTTAAATATAGAAGAATGGTTTATTTTTATTTTTATTTATTTCTGAATACCAATAAAGTTGGTATAAGTCTAATTGTAATCTGGCTTAATTTGTTCTAAACTAATTCCATAGAAAACTGAGAATGTAGCCAGCACAATTCATATATATATACATATGTATATGTATATATAATATATAATGTACATGTATACACATAAACGTACATAATTTACATATATGCATAATATATACACATATGGATATAAGGATAGTACTGGATTATTTAATTTTCAATTTATTCTAATCCATTAAGAATAAAATAAACTTATGAGCATCTATTTGGAAGTGTTCATTCCTTAGTTTTTTTAATTATCCCTCTCTTGAAGTTTGTTCTTAACCCTCCTTCTCTTAGTTACTTAATACAATAGTGGTGCTCTTGGAACATATCACATTGCCTAAAGCATCAGTACTGTGTCATTGTACTCAATGTATTGGACTATATTATTGAGCATGACTATACCATTTAACAGGGAATTACAACTGTTTAAGATTTGAAATAATAAAGTCTTACGTCAGGTGGCATTCTAGACATTTTCAAATGAGTATTAAAAAGTATTTTTGGGGAGCTAGAGTAATGAAGCTTTTACATTTTAAAGTACTGTATTATGGAATTTCCAAATTTTGTTTCTGTGACTCCTTCATTGTATGAATAGTGTGTTTAAAAGAAAAGGCATCCATTCAAAGACTATATAAAATTATCCGTTAATATATATTAGGCAACGTGTTGCTACTTCACAACTGATAACTATGTATTTTTTCCTTCATTAGCCATATTTTCCATAAGACATGTGTTGACCCATGGCTGTTAGAACACAGGACTTGCCCCATGTGCAAATGTGACATACTCAAAGCTTTGGGAATTGAGGTAAACATTAATATGTTATTTATATGAAGAATATATGCCTGGGCTTTGGGAAAAATAACATCCTTATTTTTTAGTTATGTCATATGCCATACTTACAGTTTATGCTTAAACTGGGCATATTTATATCCTTTAGACAATGAGGTACCATCTTGGGCCACCTCCATTTTCCTTCTTCCTCCCTCTTTTCAAATGGACTCATTATTTGGTCAGAATTTGAAATGATAACCATATAAACTACCAACTTGGCATCACTCTTTCTATTTTTGTAATCTTTTACTGTTGCACAGTGACCAAACTTGTAGTTAAATAAGCATGCATAATTTGAGAAGGCATAATGAATGCTAAATTATAAGTTTATAGTTGGTAAATTTTTAAAAAGGCCTATTTTCAAGATACAACATACAGTTAAGCTCAGTTCTTACTTGGGAAGATACATAGATGACAGTGATTCTCACTTTCCATAGGGGACAGCATGATGTTATTTTAGGGCCTAACTTGTACCTGGCATTATTTTATAAAGTGCTGGGATCACCCAAATGAACATATCAGATGAGAGTGCACTCTGCCTGTAGCATCTTTCACCCCATTTGTGGACCTAGTTACTCTGTTTCGACTGGGGCTAGCAAGAGACTTTTGTGATCATCAGAAGAGATCACAGGTCTTAAAGGTTAAGAAATAGTGCTCCAGTGAATGACCTATAAATAAACTTTGAAGTGATATGTCGAGGAAAAGCATGTACAGTGAGAGGCTTTTAATTTGTTCAAATGCTCTTTAAAGGTGGATGTTGAAGATGGTTCAGTGTCTTTACAAGTCCCTGTATCCAATGAAACATCCAATAGTGCCTCCTCCCATGAAGAGGATAATCGCAGTGAGACCGCATCATCTGGATATGCTTCAGTACAGGGAGCAGATGAACCGCCTCTGGAGGAACACGTGCAATCAACAAGTAAGCATCATACTAAGGGTTAATGAGTGCGCTACAAACAATCTATTGTGGATCATATGCCTGTATAGTACTCTTGCTTTTTAGCATTTGTTCCATTCAGCCATTATCATAGTCCAGGTTTTTTCCACTTAAAATAATGCCATGAAGGATACACCCCTGCCTTAACATATATATATATATATATATATATTCAAATGTATTTGAAATAGATAAAATGCATCAGAGTGGGGCTTATTTACAAAAGAAAGATTTATTGGAAAGCTTCTCTCTGATTCATTTTAAATCTCGGCTTATTAACTACTTACAGAGAGTAAGGAGAAAATTTAAACTTTAGAAGCCATTGTTTATTGCAGATAAAGCAGAAATTAAGATAAAGGAGTTCTGAAATGATAAAATAGAATTCAATTTACAAATGCTTGATTTATACCCAGCTTCTCCAGAACCCATGTTTTGCAAATAGAATCCTAAGGATGGTATGTGCTGCCACCTATTGACTATTTATCGTGAAATGAAAAAATTGTTAGAAACTAAAATTGAATAGATCATTTTCAAAATTCATATGATTTAGTATTGCTACTTAGTAATTTTATGCCAAATGAGAAATTTGAGGGAGTTTCGTTTTTTCCTAAAAGGATACAACTCCTATAAAAATTATTTTCCCTTAACCTCAATCTTTTTCATGTTTTTTGTTGGTTTGAAAGTCTTCTCTCAATCCTCATTTTGAGATCATTTAGTTCTAGCATAAAAGTAAAACAAAAACTGATTGTCGAGATGACTTATGAAACTTTTAGCTTCCTGTGATATAAACCTTTGTCCTCTGTAGGCTTATCAGTTCCATAGATACCACGTCTGAAGATATCACAATAAATATAAACATGCAAAGGCAAACTTTGTATTTCTTGTATCTAATCTTTACACATTCCCTTGAATATAAACTAGTTGTATCTTAACAATCTGTTAATTATTCTACCTGTAATAATCATTTTCTGTTTGCCCCAGATGATCTTGTACTCTCATAATTGTGTGGTAATAGAATTCAGTAAAGATAAAAGAGAGTGTACAAGATAATGTATTGCTAGTCTTGTAAAAACCAAAATACCAATCTACTCTTTTTGTGTTCTATTCATCTGTGGGTAGGGGTGGGGTGGGGGAAAGAGGTAAGCACGACAGATTTTGCAGAGATTTAAAAAGCAAATGAAATAATGATCCATGTTTTTCCTCCTGTATTCTTAAACTGAATGATAGTAATATTCACCCAGCTGTCCCAAACCAGAAACTAGGGACATCCCAAATTCTTCCCACTTCCCCTTCCTATTGATTCAACATCTGTGTTCTCAACGCTGTCCGCTAATTTCCAACCTTAATTCCACAGTCATAGTTTGAGCCACTATCTTCTCTCTGCTTATTCCTTCCATTCTGATTCACCCAAGAAATTAGGGGAGCCCAGGATAATTCCTGTTTCTTCTTTAAGACTCACACCTCTTTGAGAAGCCTCTCTTGACTAGATGTGATGAACTCTACAATTGGTTTCCACAGAACTTCAATCATTGCACTTATAACACTGAATTTTATTAAAACTTTTAAGGTTCCTTTGAGTAATGACAGTGTCTTGTATTCACTGTTGTCTATCCAGGACCTAGCACATAGTTGATACTCAAATTTGTGTTGAATGAATGACCACTTAAACCAGATTTCATTTTGTCTCTGATTACATATTACTAATTTAAAAATCTTGTGTATTAGCCATTGATTTTTATGGTGATAGTTGATTTGCATAACTTTGCAAATACATATAGTTCATGTCTGTATGTCACATCATTGGGCTAAGTTCTATTAGAGCACTGGTTTTCAAACTTAAGTACTCATTGAGTCACCTGGAGGGCTGATTAAAACAGAGAGATCACCACCAGAGTTTCTGACTCAGTGGGTCTTGGGTGGGTCTTGGTTGGTGCCTAGGAATTTTCATTTCTAACTTCAAAGCTTTTAAAGGCCATAAGTACTCTTATTTTCTTTTCTGTTGGTTGCTTTACAACCTTTTACAACACTTTTAGCTACCGTTTGTAGGCTGGAGTTTGCTGGACCCTAGGTTAAAATCTATTTTAACCTTGTACTCTCCCTGTCCTAGCCCTAGAATCAGCCATTTCTTCAGGAGGCCTTTTACTGGAAAATGGTATTGCAAAACCAGGATCTGAGCACTAGGCATGTTTATTGTTATGTGGGTGTCATTGCTATTGGCCTTTTTAATGAACAAGACTAGAAAGTATATGCGTTTATTCTCACAAATATACACACATATATACATTATTTTCTCCATCATCTATCTGAAAAACAATGACCTTATACTAATACATCTGATTCTGATCTAATACCGCAGAGTTCATTCTAGCCTCCACCTTTATTTATGTGTAACTCCTTTCTCTGACAGTGAAAGGAGAAAGGCTCTTCTGATCCACAGTATATTTACTTATTTGTTCAATTAGAGAATATACGTAAAATAGTTTCAGTGTTGCTAACACATACCCCTGTGCAAAACAATTTCACTAACTAGCGTACAATTTTTTTTCTGTTTTTTTTCCTTATAGGTTACAGTCAAAATACTGTATTCCAAAGTTATTTAAGTTTAGCTGTTTTCTTCCCCATTCTCTTCATGTGGTTATGTATTTCATTTATAATACAATTAAGTTCATTTATGACTGTTTTTATTCAATTTTGGGCATCCCTCCAACTTCCTGGTTGATGTTTTAAAAATCTATCTCTATTTATGTTTATGAAGAAGCATTGGTCATTTTTTAAGTGCCCAGGTGATTGAAATGTATAGCCAGATTTAACAGCTTATTATATTTACGGTAAGGAAGAAGTAGAAGCCATAATTTTTGCTCTTAGGAAGGCTATAATCTAGGTAGAAATAAGCACACATATGTGAATCAAAAAAGGATCAATTATAAATCAATGTAATAATGCCATATCTACTTTATGTGAGATTTAGCATAAATTATGTAATTACTAAAGGTACAGGGAATGAGTATGATAATCAGAGTATGATGAAATTAAATAAGGAAGACTTCTTGGAAATAAATGTTGAATTTTGTCTTAAAAGAACAGAGGGATAAAATCATCCTAAAATTGCTATTTCTTTTTAAAGATGAAAATCTACAGCTGGTTAACCATGAAGCAAATTCTGTGGCAGTGGATGTTGTCCCTCATGTTGACAACCCAACCTTTGAAGAAGATGAAACTCCTGATCAAGAGACTGCTGTTCGAGAAATTAAATCTTAAAATCTGTGTCAATAGAAAACTTGAACCATTAGTAATAACAGAACTGCCAATCAGGGCCTAGTTTACTATTAATGAACTGGATAAATTTAATAAAATAAGAGTGATACTGAAAGTGCTCAGATGACTAATATGCTATAGTTAAATGGCTTAAAATATTTAACCTATTAACTTTTTTCCACTAATTCATTATAATGTTTTTCATAGGCAAGTTTCCTCTCAATAGTGATAGCAACATTTTTAGACATTCAAAACTGTCTTCAAGAAGTCACATTTTTCATTTATAACAATTTTCTTATAAAAACATATTGCTTTTAAAATGTGGAGTAGCTGTGATCACTTTATTTTATGATAGTATCTTAATGAAAAATACTACTACTTTAGCTTGGGCTATATGTGTCAGGGTTTTTCTCCAGGTGCTTATATTGATCTGGAATTGTAATGTAAAAAAGCAATGCAAACTTAGGCTAGTGCTTCATGAAATGCCTATTTAAGCTACTTTAAGTTAATAGAACAAGTTTAAAGCAAAATATTCATTTTAACTTTTTGTTGTTTTCAAAATTAGGCTAAATGTGCTTCATGTGAGTGTCAACCATAGCTTCTCAGAGATTATGGGCTGAATTGATAGGTATATTAATGACACCAATTCGACACAAGATTAGACAAAAAGGTTCCTTACAAAAACACTGTGTAGCTATTTCTCAAACTTGTGGGATTTTTCAAAAGCACAGTATATGAATCATACTATTTGACAATGGTAATGACAGAGTAAGTAACACTAATATTGGTCATTGATCTTTGTGCATGAATTAGTCTACAGAAAAATATTCTGTAAAATTAGTTGTTGAAAATGATTTCCAAGCAATGTTACTTTGAAAATTGAGTTTATGTTTGACCTAAGTGGGCTAAAATTACATTATATAAACTAAAATTCTGTCCATGTAGCTATAAATTTTGTGAATGCATTTTATTGGTGTTTGAAAAAGAAGGTGGGGGGGGAGAATTCCAGGTGCCTTATATAAAGTTTGAAGCTTCATCCACCAAAGTTAAATATAGCTATTTAAAAATGCACTTTATTTGTACTCTTTGTGGCTTATCTTTTGTTTTAGAGTTTTGTTCAAATTCTAGCAGAATTTAGGCAAAAATAAAACAGATATGTATTTTTGTTTGCTGAATGGATGAAACCATTGCATTCTTGTACACTGATTCGAAATGCTGTAAATATGTCCCGATTTGTATTGATTCTCTTTCAATATAAAATGTAAATAAAATATTCCAATAAAAGCTTGTGTCTGGTGTTAGTTTAACTGTCTATATTGGGATGTTTCTTGTTTCACTATAAAGGAGTACCTGAGACTAGGTAATTTATAAAGAAAGCAGGATTAATTGGCTCATGGTTTTGTAGGCTGTATAGGAAACATGGGGCCAACACCTGTTCCACTTCTGGTAAGGGCCTCAGGAAGTTTACAATCATGACAGAAGGCTAAGTGGAAGCAAACACATCACATGGCAAAAGCAGGAGGAAGAGAGAGAGAAGCAAGAGGTCCCAGATTCTTAAACAAGCATATCTTGCATGAACTGAGTGAGAACTCACTTATTACCAAGAGGATGATGCTAAATCATTCATGAGGGATCAATCTCCATTATCCAATCACCCCCACCTGGCCTTACCTCCAACATTAAGAATCACATATCAACATGAGATTTGGAAGGGACAAATGTCCAAACCCTATCACTGTCATATGCTAACTTATCACATATAATATGCTTGGATCTGGGAGGGAATAAAATGGTTGGATGTAAATGGTCATTTATATATTTGATCAATAAACACTAAAACTTTAGCATGATATATTTACATATTACATAGAGAGGAATGGATGCCATTGTGGTATCATTCAACTTACCATGAATTATTGTTAAATGTCAGCAAGGTAAACAAGAGGTTGACCAGTAATAATATAATATTAAAATAGACCTTGATGCCAGTCCATCTTCATGCTTTAAAGTTTTTCTTCAGCCTTCTCTTTGGTAGTATGATTGTTAGGATGCTATTAATATATTAAGTGCATCTTTCTTTTGTCAAGCATGTTAAGGATACAAACATGCTTGGAACACCTCAGCACTAGGATTATCAAAACAGGTACATGTTTCTTATGTGGTGACATGCCGGGGACGGGGGTGGATGTGTAATGCCTATATTCTTCCCCTATATTCTTAGAGAGTTAACCTCTTTTCAAGTTTTGTGGGACTTCTTTTGGGGCATTTTTAATGTTTTTTTTTAATTTTTAACAGCTGTACTGAAGTATAATTTACATAATTTGCCCATTTTAAATATATAATTGGAATATGTTTAGCAAATATGTAGAGCTGTACAACTATACCACAATCCAGTTTTAAAATATTCCATCAATCCAAAATATTCTCCCATGCCCACTTGCAGTCAGTTTCCCCTCCCATTCCCAGCCTCACACCACCACCAATCTGCTTTCTGTCTCTATAGATTTGTCTATTTTGGATATTTCATATAAATGGAATCATAAATCATGTGGCCTTTTGTGACTGGCTTCTTCCCATTAGCATGTTTTCAAGGTTCCTCCACGTTGTAGCAGATATCAATATTTCGTTCCTTTTCCTTGCTGAGCAATATTCTATTGTATGAGTGGCTATCCATTCAACAGTTAATGAATCCTTGGACTATTCTAACTTTTGGGCCATTATGTATAATGCTGCTATGCACATTCACATGTAAGTCTGTGTAGATACATGTTTTAGGTTATCTTGGTTATAAACCAAGGAGAGAAATTCTGTACCACTTGTGAATTTTCTTCCTATTATCTTTTGACAGTCTCTAGCTTGAGCATCAGACTTTATGCTACACTCTCACATAGTAGTAAAAATATAAGCTGTTGTTTTTTAACAGTGGCAGTAATGTTTGTATGTCTATGGAGTCTCCAACTTAAGAAGGGCTTTCACAGTTTATTTGTAAGTTTAATGGAACCCAGGTTGTGTTATCTTATAAATAAGAATATATATGGTTCCCAGGTCAATCAGTAAAAATATATTTAGAGATACAATTGGGATGCTAGGAAGATTCCTTCCCCCACCTACATCTAGTTTCTGTTCACTTATGAAATATTTCATTTAAGTTCGATAATGTCTGGAGAAATGTTATCACCTTAGGCTATAACAAATTTGAGTTATTTACCTTGTTCGTTGCTTTTTGTTGAGAGTTAATTTTTTATATTTTTAAACATTGAACAATATAAAATTTAAACAAATATATTACACAAGACTTAAAATAAATTTGTTATTATGATGGACACTTGGATCTCCTGGGATAAATGTTCATTATCCTCTATTATCAGAGCTAAGGTGAAATGTTTCAGAAATCTTATTCACTAGTTCTCAACTTTTTTCTACATAAACAGTCTCATGAATGTGGAACACTAATAGGCATACCTAGACTTTTATGGTTAAGAGAGCAGCACAAATAAATAGGATTTAGTACGGAAGGTTAGTGGCAATTTGCCCTTCTAGTTATAATCCCAACAGATATCCCACGTCTAAACCACTGCCTTAGAAAACTAAATAGTCATGTCCTGTTATAAACTTTTTTTTTGAGACAGGGTCTTGCTCTGTCACCCAGGCTGGAGTCCAGTGGCAATCTCGGCTCACTGCAACCTCTGCTTCCAGGCTCAAGCAATCATCCTACCTCAGCCTAGGGAGTAGCCCGGACCACAAGCACATACCACCACACCAGCCTAATTTTTGTACTTTTTTGTAGAGATAGGCATGTTCTCCAGACTGGTCTCAAACTCCTGAGCTCAAGCAATCTGCCCCCTTTTCAGCCTCCAAAAATGCTGGGATTACAGGCATGAGCCACCGCACCGAGCCCCTGTTAAAAACTTTTTTAAAAAGCAATTCAGTGATCTAAAATTCATTAGCAGCCTGTTTTTTAGAAGATATCTATGTGGGTCTTAATAGAAACATGAGTATCCTCAATTCGTTGTAGAGTTTGATTTTCAAATAACTAATTTGCTTTAAATCAGTGCACCTAAAACTTTAATGCGTCTAGAAGTTACCTGGGGATCTTGCTAAAATGCACATTCCAATTCAGCAGGTGTAGAAGGAAGTATGAGATTCTGAATTTCTAGCAAGTTCCAGGGTAATGCAAACATTACTGGTCTGAGGTCCACACTTTCAGTAGCAAAGCTTTAAATGGCTCTCATCTAGCAGTAGTCTGCCTGTTTTGAATCATACTGCTTCTAAACTAGCTGCAGACTGTAAAAAAGTATAAGCTAAGCTAGTGACATTCCTTTCAAAAAAAGCCAGTAAAATCCAGCCTCAGTCTTTCCATAGCACAGGTTTTGGAATTGCTACTTAGGGTTTCCAAATATCTTTTCTTATAGATGTTTGAGGCTCTTAGAAGGCTGAGTCAGCTGGAAGACTGACCTTCAGAAAAATGAGGTATTACTTATCTCATCGTGGTATATTATTGGATCTGTTAATATGTGGCTTGGATAAATCAGAAAACAAGAATGGAAGCAGACAGATGAATTGGAAAGCTATATTATCATATGGGAGGAAAGTGTTGTGAGGCTGATCTAAAGCCATAATAGAAGGATGGAATGTACTTTTGAAAAAGAAGTAGAAGAGAGAGAGAGAGAGAGACTGATCGACCGACCAAGTTCTTACCTTCAGTGTCTTGGTAAACAGAGGTTCTTTGAACTAGGAAACCTAGCAGGAGAAACATTAACTAGGGAGAATATTGGAAAAATAAGTTTGGCTTTGAACATGTTGTATCTGAGGTAATTATGGACCATATGCATAGGAAGTATCGTGTCATGGTTTGTAATCAGACAAATCTAGGTTCAGATTCCAGCTTTGCCATTTATTTAGCTTTATGATCTTAAGCAAGTTATTTAACTTCTCTGAGCCTCCTTTCCTTCATCCATAAAGTAAGCATGTAAAAGTGTGCAAGCTTATTAATGAAAATTAAATGACATAACACATACACAGCACCAGCAATGCAGACAGTGTGCACTCCCAGTCCTCGTTCCCCAAGCAATTTATATTGACACAGAATAGAGTGAAATGCTCTGTTTTTTAAGATGCTTCTAGGAAAATACTTTCATTTGCAAGGGTGTGAAATAAATTATTTATGATCAAGCCAAAAAATATTAGATCACATAAGTAATTTAATTAGAAAAAAAAATGTTTACATAGTCGGTGAAATGCTTATTTACTAAAGCAGGAGCTCTCTAAATGCTCTGCTGTAAGCCAGAAGTGGGCCTGATCCTTTAACAGGGAGCATATGGGTATACCTGGATGAAGTTGCAGAGTAAACAGGTAGAAAAGCCATCCAGTTCTGCATCTCCTTTGCCAACTGTAATCTTTAATAGTATTGGAAAAGAATGTGGTTTTATGGAGAAGGAAGTAAAAAGGGGAAGGAAAGGTAAAAAGAAAGGAAGACATCTCTCAACATTTGCTACATTTACTGATCTTTCTCCAGGAAGAGAAGAAAAAATTATCTCCCTTAGTACACATTCAAATTGTGATGGGTTTTCCCAAAGACACATTGCAGTCTGAATTCTAAAAGGATTCTCTCTTTCCAAACTGTCCAGATACCTGCCTTGGGACTACTTACTGCCATTTAGTAGAAGAGAATCCCAGATTGCTCCTTTCCTCATTCACAAGAAAAACCCCTGCTTGGAGCACGCGCCTGCCTCACTCGAGACGGCTCACATCTTGGAAGGTTATCCAAAAGATGCTCCTCCAGGGCAGATTTCCTTGGCTTGGCATCTGCACGTGCCCCATCACATTTTTTTTAATCCACATGGCTTTGAGGCTTTATTATCGAAACAGCTCACCAAGAACCCCTTGCTTATACATTGCCTCCCGACTACTGCTTCTCTCTAACTTGTTTTCATTCTTAGTGCACTCTTTAATTCCGGTGGACTTAGTTATTGGAATACATAAAAAAAAATCTCTCAAATATTATTTCCTCACAGGGATGTCATGCAAATTACTGACCTCATTCGCCTTAATGTTCAAAGCGCTGGGCATCATTGCCAAGATACAAAGAGGTAAAGGTGGTCCTCAAAGGGATTATTTTTTCTTAAGAGCCTGAGAAAGAAAAAAAAATGCTCATACATTGTTTAGATTCCAAAATGGGATGTTGGACAAGAGATTTTCTATGGTTCATTACAGTAGTTTAATAAACAGATAGGGGCCACAGTGAAGGAAGGGAGGGGTGCACGGAGTGAAGAAAATGCGTGGCT